AAACTGGCTGTGAATGGACTGATGAGCAAAACAATCCCTCCCCTGACCCATCCCAGCCGTGGTCCCTGAGTGCCCCTGGAAAACAGGTCAGCAGGGAGAGGAGCAGCAGCCACTGCCACTGAGTCTGCCCCTGATTTCACCGCAGGGGGCCTAGGATAGCCACGATGCACCTGTCAGCAGGGCAGCGCATTGCATAATGATTTGGTGTCATGCCAGACCCCCCAGCTGCCCTGGGATTGGGGGCTAGGGGCAAGTATTGCTGAGACAGCTTTCCCCATCCCTCTATCCCTGACCCCCTCACCTGCGCAGGTGCCCCCCGGCAGCTCGGCCGCCCCAGTGTCCTGGGAGTCCCGGGCCCGCAGCTCTGCCTCGCGCTCCATCCAGGCGACTGCGTCGGGCTCAGCGGGAGGAAATCCTGGCCCGAGGGAGAGAGGTAAAGCAAGCAGGTGGCTGACAGCAGGGCTTGGGGGGCGTGGAGGGGATCCGGTGGGGAAAGGGAGCTGAACCCCAACGGAGGGGGATGAGGGCGGTGATGGCATCAGTGAAGGGGCTTAGTGGGATCGGACATGGCTCAGGGAGGGAGCTGCTGGGCCCTGCATGGACAGCTCAGGACGCTGTGCTTTGCTACCGACTGCCTTGCCATGCCCCAGTTTCTCCTCCCAACTCTTTGCCTGTTCAGATGGGAGCTCCCTGGGGCAGGGCTGCCTGTCGCTGTCTGTGCAGCCCCAGGTCTGGGCATCCGGGTGGTAACGCAGGGCTGGTACCCTGTAAGGCTCCCCCCAGCACCTCAGCCTGGACCTGGGGATCCCAGCCCCTGCTCCCCTTCAGCACTCCTTGCCCTGGACACCCCAGGCCATGCTCTTCACCCCCAGAGCCCCTCTGCCCCCCGCAGTACCATACGGGTGCAGTGAAAGAGCTTTTCCTTGCAGAGGCCCTGGGGCTCTGGGCTTTGCAGCCCAGCTGCCGAGCTCAACACCGTGCTCCCTGGCACCGGCTGGGTCAGATGCATGGGAGATGCCCAGGCACCCCAGTCCGGGCAGGAGGGTGTCTGGGCAGAGCTGCTTCTCCTTGCAGCCAGGTGGAGAAGGGCTTGCAGCCAGCCTCCCCTCCCCAGGGACCTGCCCAAGCTCCGGCTCTGGGCTCGCTGCTCTGGGCTCTCCCCTCCCCTGGGGCTGCCTCTGCCTGGAGCACACTCACCGCTGCAGCCAGGCGGGGGCTGGATTTCGGGGTCTTCTCCTTGCAGACAGGGACCGAGCCCCACCCCCCAGGGGCTCCAAGCCTGGCTGCGGGGACCAGCGGGGCTGGGAGGACTCCCAGCAGCCGGGCTCTGGCACCAGGCTCCGGAGGAGGCTGGGTACAGGAAGGTGCTTGCTTTTTTTCCATCCCCCACCAGCAGCTCTGCCCGTGAGCTCTAGGAGTGGCGGATTTTGCAGCTCTATGGTTGTCAGAGCCGTGCAGCAGCCAGGAGCGGGCAGGCTGGGCAGCTGCAGGACCCCTGCACAGGGCTGTGGGGAGATGGGGGGCCCGATCCCTGCCCTGGGCTCAGCTACGGGGCAGTGCTGGCACCAGCAGGGCCGGGCTTTCTGGTGCTGTGCATTAGTGTCGCCACGGGGCCAAATCCCCTGCTGGGGCAAATCAGACAGAGCCCCCTTGAAATCCATGGGTGCAAATCAGCCTCAGCTTCATGGTATTCACTGTGAACGGTGGGGTAAATCAGTTGTGGTGTCACTGGAGTGAGAAGATTTAGCGCAAGGGGAGCAGGGAGGGGGCTGCCATTGGAGACACAGCCCAGCCTCATGCTATTCCCTCCCCCACCACCACCCAGAAGTCCCCAGCTCCTGGAGTCATGGGATCGCACTGCTGTTTCCCCTAGACGAGCTAGTTTCCCAGAGACAAACACACCCCAACGTTTAAAGAAGTGAATAATTCCAGGAGGTTGGAGCCAAACTCACTGACATCTGTGGGTTGCGGTGCCTGCTTTATTAGCACGATTAGCAGCGTTGGTGCTGAGGCCGGCGTGACAAGCAGCGCTCACAGGACAGCGGGGGTCTGCCCGTACCCCGGGGTTGAGGACAGCACAATGCAGTGGCGTTGTGGACCGGGGTGGAAGGTAAAGACATTGGGTCAACAGACCTAGCTTGACTAAGATGGTCCAAGCTATGCCGAGAATGGGTTTTGTCTTGTTCCAGCCGCGAGTGAATGAGGAGGATTTTAAAATTGGGAGGACTCGGGGGGCCAGAGTCAGGGACCTGGGGCAAGCTTTTCCCTTGAGTGTCAGTCTTGGCCTGGAGGTCAGGTGGGGTCTAGTCTGTATTAGAAGCAGCAAGAGGGATCGATTACAAACCCCTAGTCTTGGCAAGAAGCTGTGAATTAAGGTCCCTAGCTTGGCTTTCTGTCAGAGCCTAAAGGAGTTAGGAGCCTTTATATTATTATTATTATGATTATGATTTCACTAGCCTTGGCAAGAAGCTGTGATTTAAGGTCCCTAGCTTGGCTTTCTGTGGAAGCCTAAAGGAGTTAGGAGCCTTTATATTATTATTATTATTATTATTATTATGCCCCTAGGCTTTGCAAGAAGCTGTGAATTAAGGTCCCTAGCTTGGCTTTCTGTCAGAGCCTAAAGGAGTTAGGAGACTTCATATGATGATGATGATGTCACTAGCCTTGGCAAGAAGCTGTGAATTAAGGTCCCTAGCTTGGCTTTCTGTGGAAGCCTAAAGGAGTTAGGAGCCTTCATATTATTATTATTATTTTTTTATGCCCCTAGGCTTTGCAGTAAGCTGTGAATTAAGTTTCCTAGCTTGGCTTTCTGTGGAAGCCTAAAGGAGTTAGGAGACTTCATATGATGATGATGATGGTGGTGATGTCACTAGCCTTGTCAAGAAGCTGTGAATTAAGTTTCCTAGCTTGGCTTTCTGTGGGAGCCTAAAGGAGTTAGGAGCCCTCATCTTATTACTATTATTATCATTATTTCAGACCGCGGTCCCAGTGCGATAGGAGCGGTCCAAGCCCAGAACAAACACACAATCCCGGCCCCCAGATGCTGCTCATGTAAGTACAACTGGTTTAAACTTGCAACTGTGCGGGTGAAGGGGGTGATTATTGACTGCTTCAGGAGAACCCCGCGTGCGGGTGCAGGTCTAGCAGTGTGATGTGTGTTGGACCAGCCTCGCTGGTTCTCCTTCCCTGCGGGAATGAATCAGACCTGCATGTGTCACCGTTATACCAGGGTCATTGCAAGCACATGGCAGGGGTGTGGGGTTGCTGGGGAGAGGGGCAGTGAGACTGAAGATGGCTGGAGTCAGGGGAAGCCTAGGGGAAGGCTAGGAACCGGAAGGTCCTTTCTTTATTATGTTTCCCCCTTTGCTGTGTTTCTTCATCTCCACCAAGAGGCGGATTTGGGAGCTCTATGGTTTTAACCCTTTCAAGCCCCAGGCAGGAAGGAAAAACCTCAAACAAAGAGCCTGCGGGCACAGTGCTGCCAATCCAGGACTCGCTTTGCAGGGGTCCATGTGCACAATAAAAATAAGGGGGAAAATGAGCTAATTGCCACCCCCCTCAAATCCAGGCTGCAGTAGCAGGACTGGGCACATCAGACCACAGATACCTGGTCATTGAAGGAGCTGCATCGCTCACTGATCCAGGCACGGATGCTCCGTGACAGTTGTCACAGTCACCCTGCAACCATTGTGACTAGTGGAAAGCTACCCCCGCCTGGTCCCCAGACGAGCTGTTATTTTTGACATGCATAACAGTAGCTCTCAGATCCCTAGGGGATCCAGGACTTGTTGTATGCAGTGCTGCATGCATGATCTCAATTTATGACAGGCTGCAACAGGCGGGTAGGACAGATTTATTTTTAATTAAATGTATCCGTGTTCCAAGCCAAAATAGCCAAATCACATTTCAAATCCATGCGGCAGGCCAGAACCATAAGTGGCCCTACTACCAGCAAGCAGCCTCCGCCCACACCTAGGGCTTCAGATGTTTCCAAGTCCTTTGGCAGGCATCCTACTTGCAAGCCCAAACCCGGAGGCTTGGGGTTCGGATGCCCCTGAGTTTTGCTTGCCTTTAGATGAGTACGGGCAGGGGAGCAGGGGGAGATGGAGGAGAGACAGGAGGATCTAAGGAGGTAGGAGCCGTAGACAAAGAGCTGGGAGAGCTGTGCGTAGTCGTGGTTCTGCCACTGATCTGCCAGACACGAGCTATTTTACTTCTGACCTGACATCTGTCAGTCTTGTCTATCTGGATTATACATTTGATGGGACCTTTGGGTTTATACTCTGCCGAAAGGGATTAAACAACTGTCTTGTCTTGTTGCAAATTCTTGTGAGGTTGTTTCCCCTCCCCATAAAGCCCCAGCTCCTGGAATCACGTGATCTCATGCAATGATTTCAGCTTGGGGCATTGCTAGAACTGACAGCTGCCGAGGAAAACTTTAAAAGTATGAACTATAAAGGCTCAAAAATCAGAGTTTCAGAGACCCAAACCTATTAGGGCTAATCTCATTATTTTCAAGCAAATCTCATGCAAGCCAGGCCCATTATTAGGAACGGCTGGGGTTCAAAATGCTGTTGGTCGGGTGTCTGAGCATCCTTGCAATATCAGCAATGACTGTATTTTCTTACATACGCAGGCCCCAGAAGAAGATACACACTTCGTTTTTGAATGAAGGAAAAAAACCCTCTTTCCTTCTAGTAAGTAACTGAGCAGCAGCGAGGAAGCAGAGCCTGTTCGGTGTTCTGCAACCTTGAGATCGCACGCAGGGCTACTTGCGCCGTAGCCCGGCTGACGTACAAGTGACAGAAAGTGCTGGTACTGAAATTCTTCCCTTCTAATTTTCCAGCAGTTATTTTTGGGGGGGGATAAAGGTGTGTTGTATGTGAGACAATACAGTAACACCGAGTGAGATGAATGCATTTTATTTCTTTTTAAAATTATTTATGGCTGATAATTATTTGAATTGTGGCATCACCCCGGAGCCCAGTCAAAACAAGATTCCACTGTATCAGGCACTGCACGCTGCAGAATACAACGGGTCCAACCCCCAAAAAACGAATTGTTCCTGATCACCTCTCCCGCCTGCCTGTTTTCAGACAGGCACAGCCGCCAAAAAGGGCAACGGGAAGGAAAGAGCAGGGAGAAACCCCTGTAAAAACTAGTGTTTGAGGCCTGCTCTAGCACTACATGGCCGAGACGTTCAAACACTGCGGGTGATGTGGGGTCCTTGTGAAGCTAGTGGTCTGTGGAAGTGATGTCCATATTTTTTGCCCCACAGGCTGGGTGCGTGGTGCCAGGTTGACAACAGGCTGGATCTGGTGAGTGGGGTGGGCATGGCTGGGTTTTAATTCCTGCAGGCAGCGACCACCCACCTGGGGCCTGGTCCCCACCTGCCTGGGGTCCAGTTCTGGTGCGTAGTAACCATGCGACCAGGGGCCGATCCCAGCACGCAGCAGTGGCACGGTCCTGGTGCATGCAAACAGCCCATTTGGGGCCCGATCCCGCACACAGAAACGACCCGCCCAGGGCTCGATCCCTCCGCGTGCGGCCGACCTGGCCAAGGCCAATCCAGCAGCATGAGGTGTGTGGTTGCACCGCTCCCCAGTACTTGTGTGGAGCCCCGTGCACCTGATCACACGGGTCCGTGGGCTGGATCCGAGCCCTGGTCTTGTCCTCCCTACCGCTGCTTTCCACACATCTCCCAGCCAGGCAGTAACTCCACGCGAGCTGCCTGAACGCAAGCTTTCCGTCCTGTGGGTCCCCGGTTCGAGCCCCGCTCACGACCCATGCGTTGGGGCTGCGGTTGGAACGATCCGTGTCCTCCGAAGAAAGGTTCGACATATCCGGAGGGCAAAACAAAATGGCAGCCGTCGGGCTGGGGGCGGCACGCTGCGCCGGGGCCCATCAAACTGGGAGACCTCTCCCTGCCAGCGTCCGTTCGACCCGGCGCCCGTCGGCGGAGGAAAGCGCTGCCAAACCCGAGCACGACAGGACCCGTTGGGCGAGGTGGGAGGGCAGGGACGGCCCCGCAGAGCAGAGCAGGCGCTGGGTAGACTATAGCCGTGGCAGGTGGCTCCAGGGGTTTGGGGTCACGGCCTGGCCCCCACCCACTGGGGAGCCAGCTCCGGCCCCAGGCGGGAGGGCGCCTATTGCCCAGTTTTTGGGGCAGCTGTCCCGGCTACCCCAATGCGGGGCAACCCCCACCCCTGCCCAGCCTCTGAGCTGCAGGGGGCAGAAGTGAGCAGGGGCCAAGGGGATTGGAGGGGAGCAGAGTGTGGGAGGAGCTTGTGAAACAGCAGAGGTGGAGATTGGAGGAGGGCAAGGCAAGGGGTGGAGCCTATGAAACAACTGAGGTAGGGATTGGAGGAGAGCAGGGTGGGGCGGAGCTTATGAAACAACTGAGGTTGGGATTGGAAGACAGCAGGGTGGGGGCGGAGCTTGTGAAACAACTGAGGTAGGGACTGGAGGAGAGCAGGGTGTGGGAGAAGCTTGTGAAACAACTGAGGTGGGGATTGGAGGAAAGCAGGGTGGGGGCGGAGCTTGTGAAACAGTTGAGGTGGGGCTTGGAGGAGAGCAAGGCGAGGGGCGGAGCCTGTGAAGCAACTGAGGTGAGGATTGGAGGGGAGCAAAGTGAGGGGCGGAGCCTGTGAAGCAACTGAGGTGGCGATTGGAGGAGAGCTGGGGGAGGGGCGGGTCTCCAGGGCCGGGCTCGGAGTGGAGGCCGGAAGAGACGGGAGCGGTTAGAACAGACGCGGCGGGACGCCGGCTTCGTGCTGCGCATGCGCTCCACCCCTCCCCGCAGCAACGCTCGTGTCCTGCCCCCACTTCCGGTGGGCGCGTTTCCACTTCCGGGTGGCGCTGGCACCCCCTTCCGGTCTGAGCTAAGCGGCTTAGCGGGGGCGGCGGCGCGGGTGAGTGTCCCCCCCTCCCCCCCCTAACAGCAAAGGCGGCTTATCCGGGTCTCGCGTGGGCCCGGGGCCTTTCCCCGCGCGAGAAGCCGCCTGTCACTGGTTCGCTCTCTTTTTCCCAGACTCTTGTAGAGCATGTGAAGAAATCCCGGGAGCCTGAGTTCCAGCATGTGGTATATTATGCAAAGCATTCAGAGTAAATACTCCCTGTCGGAGCGCTTAATCCGGACCATCGCGGCCATACGCTCTTTCCCGCACGATAATGTGGAAGACCTGATCGGCAGGGTACGTCCGCACGCGGGGGAGGGGAGGGGAGGGGAGGGGGGCTTGGGTCCCGCCACGTGCACGTGAGGCATACGTCAGCGGGTCGAGCCGGAGCCGGCGTCCTGTTGCTGGTTGTGTCGACCTGGGCCTCTCCTGAATATTGTTTCTGCTCCGCTGTTTGCGTCTTATCCGCTCAGATTCAAGGCAGCAGCGATCGTTTTATTGCGCTCGTACGGGGCTTGAGCGCTTTTATTGCGTTGTAGCTGGGGAGCGAGACGCGGGAGCAGTGCCGCGTGGTGGGTGTATAGACACCGAGCGCTTGGATGTGTAATTCGGGGCGATTCTAGAGATGCGTGTTGCGTTGTGTTGCCAGCACCTCGCGGATAGCTCCAGGAGAGCGAGATTCGCCTCTTCCCCCTTCAGGGAGCAGAGATTTGTCGGCTGATTGTAGCGCTGCTTCTTCTGTTACGTGTCTTGTTGTGCCACCGCAGTTCACGTTGCTACACACTTCCAGTTCTCGCTTCTGTTTTCGCCTCCCTTGTCCCTTTTCAGAGCGGAGCGGCGTTACCGGCAGGAAGCGTACGGAGGTCACCGTGGGGCAGAGCTACAAAAATTTAGATTAAAAAGGGCGGGGAGAGAGAGAGAGTTCTTGGTGCGTCTTGGGATTTTGAGTCTCAAGAATCAGGTTGGGTTTTTTCCCTGCCTTTTCGGTCGCTATCACGAGGCTGAGAATTTTATTTTTAGGAAAAAAGCGCACAAAATCAAGAGACGAGAGCAGGGGCGGGCAAAGCCTGGTCCGTGGGCTGGATTGGGTCCATGGTGGACTCCATTTTCCAGCAGCCTGTGGCTGGTTTCCATGGAGATCCCAGGAGCGGTGGGACCATGACAGCTTGGGGCCAGGGTTTCCATGGAGACTGGTTCCGGCAGCGCTGGCTGGGCGGGGAGCTGCTCCAGGGCTGGGATCTTGCAGCAGAGCTGGGGCAAAGCTGCAGCCCGCTGTCCGCACACCCCTGGGCAGGGCGTGCAGGCGGTGCATTGCAGCTCTGCCCTGGCTCTAGACCACATTGTCACTCCTGCAAGATCCCGACCCTGGCGCCAGATCTCCACAGAAACCGGTGGCGGGGACATGGGCAGGGGCTGCTGGGAAATGGAGTCCGGCTGCTGGCAGGATCTGCCATTTTGCCCACCCCTGGAGTAGAGGGACTGTTTTGAACGGGCAAAGCTGAAACTGAAGACTCATCTCTCAAGTTTGTGATTG